TTAGGTGCTGTCCACAGTACGGCCCATTTAATCCATGCACTGAGAGGCAGAATTACTCTTATCCTCAACTCACTGCTGGGAAAACTCACTCTTAGAATGTTGACGTAAGTTGTTTAAGGTTACACAGTGAGTCAGCGGTGCGGCCAGGAATGAACCAGGCAACCTGATTTCTGCATCCACACTCAGCAATTATGGTTTGGAAGGGAGATGGGGAAAGGGCCAGAGCTGGACCTAGGACCAAGGCTTTCTGACTCCTGTCCAGACAATCCTTCCAGATCCGCTTTCTGACTCCTGTCCAGACAATCCTTCCAGATCCTCATGAAGATGTAACTACAAGCATGCTCAGTGCAACTAGTTTCTAATGTGCACCTAAGTAGACTCAACTCAAATGTTCAACTATCATGGAACAATTAAGGTATCAAACATTTACACTAGAAAATTACTTACAAGAGTTTAATTATAACTTATTAACAATGTTTGGGTTCTGAGGAAACAGGTTAAAATACATAAATACCAGAACGAAGAATAGAGAGAGAACAGTGGGATAGCTAATTATGCAAAAATATTTTTGTCATAACGTTTATGATAGCAAAATCAGGGCTCAAGCTATGAACCACCATTGTACGATCACAACTACATTTTGCGAAAGAAAAACAAGACAATACACTAATAAGAACTGACTTCGAATGATGAGTTTTCTGCTTTCTACTACACTAGACTATCCAAATTTTCTATAAGCGGCATGCCCCACTTTTAGCATTGAAAAAAAGGACCACTCCTCAATTCTGTGTTTAGAAAAGCAGACTGCTGGAGCGGTACCTTCAGTCAAAGGAAAGATCTCGCTCATCTTCTGGCGAGCCATCCTCACTTTGGTGAGCTCCCCTTCCAGCCGGAGAAGTCTGATCAGGTCCACGTGGCAGTTGTAATCATAGACGTTGATGGACAACTAGAAGGAAAAGAAACAGAAGTTGAAATTTAAATGCCATCATGAAAATAACTTAGTTTCTGTCACCACTGGGTGACAACATACACGTCCTTTCACAGACAAAATAAATAACACGATCTGGGAGAGACACTGAAACAGCACTGCAACAACTACCCGCAGGAAAGGGAAGACAAAACGATCATTTAAAACAAACAAACCTGTTGTTGTCGACTCAATTCCAACTTATAGCAACGCTATGGGACCGAACAGAACTGTCCCATACGGTTTCCCAGGAGTGGCTGGTGGATTTGAACTGCCAACCCTTTGGCTAGCAGCTGTAGCTCTTAACCACTGCACCACAGGGCTCCAAAATGATGAAAGTAGAGGCTTTTTTATAGTAAACATAAAACTCCCTCAAATCTGTAATGATTCCTGTTACAGAACACTTGGGTTCTTGCTAAAATAAAGAAGACAGCCTAATGAAACAAATAATCAAAACGTGTGTCACCTTAGGCAAGTTGTTAACTTTTTAAGCCTCCATTTCCTCATCTATGAAATGGGGGTATTACTAGTTCCTAGTTCAAGAGTTTGTTGTGAGGATTAAAAAGGGTAATTTTGCAAGCTGCTTAGTACAATGCTAGGGGCATAGCAAGAACTCTTTTATTATACTAAACAAACAAGATGAAAACTCCTACTGGAGAAACAAGAATGGCAAAAGGTTGGTATCTGTTAAAGTTGAGTGATAGATCTAGAAAAGCTTATTTTTATGTCTGAAACTTTTCAAAATAAATATTATATCAATAAAATATTTTTTAAAAAGCTATCATACTAAGTAGGTTAAACTTTGAAAACACCATGCTGAGTGAAATAAGTCAGTTTTGAAAGGACAAGCATGGTATGATCTCACTTATATGAAATATCCAGAGTAGGGAGGTGTCTAGAAAACAAAGTTTATCAGTGGTTACCAGGGGTGGGAGGAAGGAAGGGGGAAAAGGGGACTAAATGCTTAGGGAACACTGAGCTCTGTTAAGGGTGATGGTATAACTTGGGAACACATTAAGGGCAACGGTTGAGCAACATGAGGAACATAATTAATGTCACTAAACTCTACATGTGAAGATTGTTGAAATGTCAAATGTCCTGTTACATATATATTTACCACACACAAAAAGCAATTATACATCTGAAACACAGAAAATTAACAGAATCCGTCACTAGCTGACTTACTCTTAAAGAACAGCTAAAGAAGTTCTTCAAACAGAAAAGAAATGATAAAAAAAAAGAAATCTTGGAGCACTAGGAAAGAAGAATGAACAATGGAAAGAGATGAAATATGGGTAAGCACAATAGATGATTATATGGAATGGCTGAAACAAAAATTCTAAGATCATCTGACACCCAGACAATGATATTTT